ATGATAATTTGCTATGTACCTCATGGAAGCGGCAAAAACTTATTAAAAATGTAGTGACAGATATTCCAATGCCAACTTAATAATAATAATATAAAAAACAGTGTTGAAACATTTTGTTATGTTACAGTTAAAAAGGCTATTTATATAAAAAAAACGCAAAATCATCATCCAAAATCAGTACTTTACAGGTCAAAGCAGCGTAAAGTGGTATGAGATTTATTTTGACGTAGCAACGTCTGACCTATTCGGGGTATGAGACACAGCGAATCCAACTACTGAAAAGTGGGTTTATAAAATTGGCTAAAGTTATTTAAATAGAACTTCCCTCGCCCCTTAAATACAATCGAACAACTCCAGTTTCTTCGAAAGACTCTAAAATTTGATTTTGCACAATTTTCTGTATTTTACGATAACCCCTATAAATACAAAAATATGGATAATATTATGATGGGATTGGAATCCACCCGGACGACATGAACACAAATCTGACAATCCATGATGCATAATCAAGATCTCTGCCACATAAAACACCTCGAATATATTGCACAAAAAAATGATTGTAAAGCAGTTGTGATAAAAATCAAGGCGGATTCATAAACCACGAGTACAGGAGCATATTATTCTTATGTTATATAACTGAGAGACCAAAAAGATTAAAAAAAGGCGTGTTTACGCAGAAATGGTAGATCTTTTAGGGAGAATAATCCCCAGTCGATACGACAACTGAGTTTTGAAATATGCGATTTCAGAGGCAAATTTTTGAAACAAATCAAAAACTGTCATACATCATGTTGACGATTTTGAAAAAATGCTAAGAATTCTCGAAGAAAAATCTCCTTTGCTAATTTTCGAAGATGCTTGAGAAAGGTGAAAAATTTCAAATTGAAAAATTGAGCTTTCACGAAGTTGTCCAAAAATCCACAAGACATTCTGGGAGCCAGATTTTTTTTTATTATTGAGTAAAGTGTCCAACGAGCTGAAACCAAAAATACGGCGGATTGAAGACTGTCATAGAAAATTTTAGAGCAATAGTGGCGCTTCCGAAAAATTGAACAACCAAAAATATGAAGAAAAAAAATCGTGTTTAACCAGAAATGGTGAATTTTTTAGGAAGAATAATCATCCTAAGTCGATAAGGCGACTGGTTTTCCAAATTTTCGATTTCAACCGCAAAATTTGTAAAATATCTCAAAATTCTCATATTTCATGTTGCCGATTTTGAAATAATGATACGAATTTTGAAAGCCCTAAAAAATTTTAGGGAATCGAATTCAACAAAAAAACCTTTTTTACATTTAGAAGGTGCTTGAGGAGAGTTAAAAATTTAAAATTTAAAAATTCAGCTTTTACGAAGTTGTCTTAAAATCGACAAAAAATTCTGGGAGCCAGATTTCGACGACCTGATTCCAAAAATATGGCGTGTTGGTGGTCCCAGTTCACCTTTAAAGACTATCATCGAATATTTTAGAGCAATAATTGCCCTTTGGTAAAGACGTACTTAGCACGGTTCCGGAAAACTGAGAAGCTAAAAATATGAAAAAAATTGTGTTTACCCAGAAATGGTGAATCTTTTGGGGAGAACACTTCTCAAGTCGATGTGACGATTAATTTTCAAAATTTTCGGTTTCAAACTCAAATTTTTAAAATATCTCAAAATTATCATAATTCATGCTGCCGATTTTATAACAATGATAGAAATTTTGGAAGAATGGAACCACTAAAAACCTGCAGAGGTCGAAATTAAAAGTGCCAAATTTCAAAGTGTTTGATGCAAGTTAAAAGTATTCAAATTAAAAAATTGAGCTTTTCACGGAGTCTGAAAATCCACAAAAAATTCTGGGAGCCAGATTTCGACGAGCTAAAGCCAAAAATGTGGAATGTTGGTGGTTCCAATCCATGATTATTATATAATTTAATTATTATAAAATTTAAATAACGTTATGATCCAAAAAATTTTGTTGGTGATATTCTTAAATCACATATACAATTTGAAAACAATCGGTCCAGTAGTTTTGGAGATTATGTGCCTAATAAAAATCGACACAGACAGAAACGGGAGACCTTTTTTTGTACTCTGGGGGTCATGAAATGCCGGGAAACATAAAAGTAGCCATTTTCCGGATGGACGCTATACAATACTTCCTTTGGTTACGCTCGGGAAGTAAAAATAAAGACGTTTTGAATAAATCTAACGAAACAAGACATTCTGCTTCTAAAAAAACTCTAATATCATCCAGATCACACACATTGGAATTACATTTGAGCAAAACCTTTAATATTCTTCGACTTGGAATGAGAGGAGGTTAAAATCAAAATAGTACTGTTTTACTTATTTGCAAAAATGAGAAATGAAAAACACTACCAAATACAATTCCCAATTATTTATGGAAATTTCGTAGGTAGTTTTCACTTTCTTTATATTACAGAACTCTAGAAACTATAGGAGAAACATCCTTGACTTTTTTATTGGAAACGTGGTCAGTAAAACCAGCTTGTGTCGAAGAAACTGCCTTTACTGTACATACCTATATCATTTCCAACAAAAAAGTCGATGTATTTTCTGTTATTTTTGAGTTTTGTGATATGAAAACAGTGGTGTAAACCGCGTTCGGAAGTTTCCATAAATAATAGAGATATTGATTTGTAAAAATACGCAATGAAAAACGTAACAAAAATTTAAAAAATAATCGTACTCTTCTTGTGTTACATAGGGAAACTTAAACTATAGAATTTCCAGAAATGCTTGGAAATAGAGTTAATCACTGTTGTTGTTTTCACAATGAGACATAAATTTACCCTCATTATATAACGACAACAAAAGTGATTAGCTTTATTTACAAATATTTCTAAAAATACTATACCATTTTAAGTCTGTTTCACTATATTTTATTGTTAAACAACGCATTTTTTTTTACTTTGTCCGAAAAATTTTGAAACAAAGTCATTAAATTTGTACATATCAAGCTGAAAAAAACCCGAAAACCCACGCTGCATTGATTTTCGCTAAATATAATCGCGATAAGAAATTAAAACAGTGTCAATATTTTTTTGTATCTTGACTCAAGTTTATTTTAGGTCTGTGTCAATAATGTTATTTTTGTCAATGATATCTTGCTACATACGGATTAACGTGTTTGCAATGGATTGCAAAAAAATGTAGAGATACCGTCTATTTCAACACCAAAATGTTTTTCATGAATTTAATTACCGGACTCACGCAAAGTGTGACCGAAACTTGACAAGTCCTTTAGTAAATAATCCGCCGTGTGTCTTTACAGAAATAACTAATTCAAAACGCTGTGCTTTGAGTTGTAAATACAAAACAAGCGACCTGTTATAAAACCCTTTAACAACAGACTCGAAATCGGCTTAACTAAATAGGGTACAAATAACAATGGAGGCAGTAGGTGGTAATACGTCGAATGGATCGCATATTTGTTATTTTTGTTGTAGAACAAAGCGACTTTTCATTAACGGAATAATGTGAAATTTTCACAAAGCAAACGTTTAATTTTAACGTATGTTTGAACACTTTTAAGAGTGTTTAATGGAGTCATACGTATTAAACACGTGTGCGGTAATTTTTCGTTTTATAGGATTACACGGTCTTGTGTGAATAAAGAATAAAAGTCACTTTATTTGATTAACCTTCACTCTATTTCCTCGAATCGAAATGGAACTAGTCTCTGTGGTAGCACGTTTCCACGTTGCAACCAATTACCTGTACGTGTCTCGTACAATTCTAGAACGTTGTTCGCATAATTTTACTAAATCAATAAACACAATTTATATGGCAAACATATTCTACGAGGACTATCAGATAATACTGGATACATATGTTACTACTAGAAATTTACGTTCGTGTAAAATTTCGTTCAAATATACATTTTGTCGAATTGCGTAACTGATGTTTATTTTTTCTGATTATTAACGATTATTAGCGGTCTTGATCTTTGATCCGAAGACGATTTTGTTCTCTAAACAGTTCCCACTTTAAACAAGTTGCCTTTAAAATACTTCCACGAAAGTCGTAATATCGTTTGAAAAATCGTTACAATACACCAACAACCAACTCTTCCTCCATTGTTGAAGCTCGTTCAAAGCCTCTTTATTACGTTGGGCGTAAAACGGGATCACTCTGCGTTTGTTGTATACGAGCTTTTAATAAACAGAAATTCCCTGATCCTTTTATTTTTCTTGAACAAGATTCATCATCTCTCCAGAGCTCCCCTTTACCAAAAAGGGAGACTTCTCCAATTTCAATTCCCTCTCCCGTTGTAAGTGAAATTCCAACAAGTAAAAAGCTCCACGATTAGCTTTCGTAATCACGTTCTGCACACGATTATCACACTACGTGTGTTAATTATTTTATATTCTCGAAGATCAAAGTCTCGGAAAGAGCTTGTAGTTGATGAAGTGTTAAATTATGGATAACCGGAATAAGCTAGCACTTGATGCCTTTCGATTGCTTTTAATTGCTTTCAACTCTCCGACAATTAATCAACTGGCGTTGAAACGAAAATATTGTGATGGTGGCAACCGTCTCAAATAAGTCATTTATTTGTGTATGTAAATGGAAGAAGCCGACCAGTTCCAACCAAAAGACCACCAGTATTTCATATTTCCGTGCAATCAGCCGCCGTTCTAGATTCATTTTTCGCTCGACTTGGCAGAAAACGACTACGAGAGCAAATTATGTTATTACGCCCTTGTATGTACCTAAATCTCCATCTTTACCGCTGGAAGCGGCAGGTTGATTGCTGGGGTAATTATTGGGAGAGCGTGCAATTACTCCAGAATTGCTAGAGTGTGTGCATGATTGAAACTAAACTCACCTTTCAAGATGAATTTCCTGTGTCAGTAGTTTAGAGGGCGAGCAGCTCACTCGACCAAGAAAACGGCGCCAGAACCCTTTATCCGTATTCGTGGAACGTAAACACTGCTAATTTTAGAAATAATACCCATTTAAGGCACGAATTTAACTGGCGATTTTGTTGCAGCACTCCCACGATGAACTGGCAAAAAATGGGACCGAAATGAATAAGGTAAGGCACAAATAAAATTAGTATCCTTTTAAGTCGTTCGTTGGGCATAAATTAGAGCTCTTCGTTTGGTTATATAACTATTCTTGGTAAGGCGACTAGCCGCCATACCATCAATTATAATTTATGGCACAAAGTAGTCCATAAACGTCGGTTTTTTCTCAGTAGAGCAACTATTAAATTTCCAAGGTTTTGCTTCGAGCTTAACCATGCATGACGTGAAAATGGACACCTACAGGTAGAAAAAAGACGTAAATTTAATTAACAGGGAACTAGGCACTTAATCGTAACAAATTCTTTTCTAATTGTTCCGGTTAAAAATGCCGCGGTGTGTTTTCTGAAAACTGTGTTGACTGAAATCACTCATTGTTATTAATACAATTAAGAGTTTAATTGCTCGACTTGCTTACCTCACGATTTTCCAGCAAAAAATTAATTATACGATTTTTACTGATGTCTGTTGATAACTGGGAATAATTTATTACTGCGTTTCAGAATTCTTAAATTAACGTTAATTATTTCTTTTTTGTGTGTTTCGCTTTATTAGCAGAGTCGAGAGCAAAGCGATAATTAGATTTTTTACAGAATTGTAATGTTGATGATGCTAACATAAAACATATAATTTGTTACACTTCCTGGATTTTGCATGTGAGATTATTTTATCCGGTGATTTTCTGAATAAAAGGTGAAAAAACTTAATGGTGGCTTGAATTTTAATGCATCGTAATGTGTTTCGTTTTAGATAGCACAAGCTATTTTAATAAATTCGTGGAAAATCGAGATATTTATTTGTGTCAGATTGCTAAAAACACCATTAAAACCAAACTTGTTCTAAACTGAATTTTAATTTAAAAACAAATGAGAACATGGTTAAAAATATCGAATGTGCACGGAACCCAAAAGTGATGACCTTTTGGGTTTTTAAGGCGGCGATTTGATAAGTGGCTTAGATTTTATAAATGTACTGGTCGTGTTCTTTTTACAACGGATAATACAAACGGAATTTGTTATATAACGCAAATCTAATTGTCCAATCTAAAATGAAATAACGACAATAAACAATACTGCAGTTAAAAATAGCCACTAACAAGTGTTTGATAAGATATGTATTTATTATTCCACGCAATAATTGTATGTAGATGATTGATCTACGTAAATATTTACTTTTGTGATCTCGTAACGAACTTCTTTTTTGCGAATCAAAAATTGCAGTTTTTCAAAAAGTCTTTGCTTTTTCTTCTTCACTGAGTCTAATTTTAACCTTCAAATTCTTTTGAATGTTTCCTGCTTTTGATTTTCGTGAAGTGCTTTTCAGTTCTAGTTAACATTTTAAATTCCAGCAAATCTTTCTCAAAATTTGAACTACTTGTTACTAAGTGATTATGCTATTAAGAAATGGAAAATTCATATGAAAAGATAAATATCCATTTCTGGCTCTTATCTCTGCCAATAATATTCACACCTGTATTGGAGTCAAGGTTTGTACAGTTTGTCCAAAATAAAAGTGGACAAGGATTTTTGAACCACTCAGGCTAATAATATTGAAAAACCTGAATACAACTCGGAAATTTACGCAGATTTAGTAAAATGCATAACGGGAAGTTGTTCGACCATTGTTGGTGGAAATAACATAGACCGCGTTTACTAGACATTTCATGACAGTTAGAGTACGGAAAAATAGGTCCGCCGTTTCCGTCCGTTCATCCGCTATGTCGACTTTTAGTAGACACATAATCTCCGAAACTACCGGACAGAGATATCAAATTTTATATGTATGATATGAATGTCATGTAGTGGATAAAAGGCTACAACCAAACTTTGTATAATTATCCCTACCAATAATTGTTAACAATAACTTTGAAACTGCAAAACCTAATATTCTGAAATCCTGCAAAATTTTGCCGAATAAATTTGATCTAAAATTGAAAATTTTGCCGAATAAATCCTATCTATAATGTGATTTTATTTTATCAAAAAAATCGCGAATCAGATTTTGTAATTTTTCAAAAAAACTGAATATATTTACTGTACCTCTGGGCCGCAGGAAGTTCTGACTAAATAATCTTAACCAAATTTCATTTAGAAACAGCTTAAGGTAGTGCTAAAATAATCATTTTCAATTTAATTTTCATTTCTCTTTTCTTTTTTTGTAGCGGACTTGATAAAAATTTTGATTGCATTTAATTGGGCGTCTTTTGATGGACTACACTGTATATATAAGGTTGTGTGATTGTTAATTACTTCTCGTCACAAATGTTAATCATAACCCAACTTTCTTAACTCTTTTCATTGGTTTTGCTCCTTGATAGAAACTGATAAGTAATAATGCACCTTGTCGCATTTTTTAGCACCTGTATATACAGGTGTTCAAAAGATGACCCTTCAAAGTTTAATTTTTCTTTTTGGTATTTCACCATACTCGTATCTTAACTCACTACTTACTGTTGGCTGTATAAAATCGATCGGACTTTCATTGTTCGTTGTAATTTTGGAGGTATCTTGTGTTATCTATCGTTTTCATAATTTTATAAAATCACGAAAAACTTAAAAATTGTTCACAATGACTCTCACAACAGTGGCTAATTTTTCACTTTTTCTGATCTATCTATCAAAATCGATATTTTGTTTTTCCAAGTGTAAATTGACGTAGGGAATTTTTGAATGATTTTTCTCGGATTTTGATTTGTGAACTGAGTAATGTAACGTTGAATATTTGGCCTATTTTTTGAGCATTCTGTATGTATAAATATAGTGACATAGTGTTAAATTTTTTCTTGCATAAAACTAATACAAAAAATTAATTAATCATGAGTAAATTTCAATGCATATTCGATGCAAAAATAATGGTAATACAATAACAAAAAATTGGTCGAAGGCTATTTCGACAGAACTTCCCTCGCCCTTGAAGTATAATTCGACAAATCCGCTCTTTAAAAAAATTATAAAATATAAAAAACGGACAATGTAAAATATATTTAAAGTACATAACTAACAGGATAAAATGTCCTTCAGCACTAGGTAATAGCAATCTGGAACTCAAGTGTTTATTATCTTTATACATCGAAAGAATGTCACGTAGACATTAGTTTAATTTGAATGAGTTTGCATTCTCAAAGCAGAGAACGAACTAAAATTATTAATTAAACCGCAATTATTACATATATAAACACGTGCGTATTTTCACATTTTCGAGAAAATGGGGTGACTCGTTCTTAATTTGAATTAATATAAATAATAATAAAAAATTTGTTATAACGTCATAAACATAGATAATACACAATGCGAGCGAAAAAAAAAGGAAAAAAATGAAAGGCCAAGTTTGGCATTATGTTTTTGCGAAAATTTTGACGGTTGGGGAAAAAACTCAAAGCGAATTCGTACTCCACACGTATAGGAATATACTGTTGTATAACAGTTAAATCAAATAAACATAGAATTCTTTGAAGTGACGTCAAACTATTGGTAGGGATAGTTAGCAAAATTTTGGTTAGCATTTAACCATCTACATTTCTATTATACATTTAAATTTGACAACAATCGGTCCAGCACATTCGGAGATTACGTGTAGGGGTCATGAAACGTCGAGAAAATATAAAAGTGACCATTCGTCCCATAGACCCGATTACTATACTTCCTTAGCTTACACTCGAGAAGTAAGAAGATGAAGATTGTGAGAGACAAAAATAAAAATTTCTACCGTTCTTTGTCAATAAGCGTCGGTTTTACAAGAGTAACTAAAAAATGAACAAATTTATATATTATTATTATATATTTTGTATAAGTTAATTGTGAGTAATATCAAAGACCAGAATTGATCTTCATTTAAATTTGGTCGAAAGCTATCTCAACCGTACTTCCCTCACCCCTGAAGTAATTTACGACAAATCTGACTTCTTTGAAAAATGATAAAATTTGATTTTGCTAAATTTTACTTTTTTATGATAACATCTATAAAGAAAAATAATGTAGATAATACATGCTCGGCATTGCTTGTAAATGCACAGAAATGTTTTGCCAAAATTTAGATACCAAGGGCAAAAATTCGTAGCGGATTCATGGACCACAACTGTAGGAATATATTATTGAATAACATTTAAATAACATTAAAAATATGCTCGAGAAGTAAAAAGAAGTTCAAGAAACCAGAAAATAATATTATTCTCGAGAAGCAATAAAACAAGTTCCATTTGATAAAATGTTTGAGAACAAGAAAGAAGTAAATGAATAAAAAATTGGACATAAAACGAAAGAGAAAAACACAGCAAAAAATTAAGCAGGTTTTTTTTAACTTGGCGTTTCATCAGTATTTTACATAATTTCGCAATTTATATTATGTTCGACATAAAGAAAAACAAAGCCTGTGTACTATTTGCATTTAAAACATCTATAAATAAATATGTTTCGTTAATGGATATAATTGACCGTTTTAACACAAATCATTTGTTTATTAAAGTGACTTTTAACTAAAAGATTGAAGGTTATCATTTTTCCTTTTTTAATTAAAATTTGTTTTTCTTCTTTATTTCTTACAATAATCTCCCAATTATCGAACACTGTTTTGGATTTTCATGTTGCTAAATTACTGCTTATATTCATCCAAAAATATATAATCTTGTAGAGAAATAATACGTTGTTATTTAAAATTTTGATTAATAAAAACAAAACTTTTTTCATTTTTCTATATTTTTCGTAGAGTTGTTTAGTTAGTATTCGATCTGCCTCCATTCATTGTTTCTCTAACGTGCGATATGGTTTTGAAAAGAAAATAAAACTCAATTTTAAATGTGACAGATTTATTTCTTGAATCATAAAATTTTGGAATCTCTTCAACATAAACACTCGTTTTTGTTTGTAACATAACCCGGAAGTGCAAAACCGACGTCTGCTGACAGTGGACACAAACTGGTCCTGAATATAATCTCAGCCTTGAAGTTTTGAATTTATATGGTAGTTAATATATTTTTTGTTTTGACATTTTTATAGAACCAAGTTTGCAATATTTTTAAAGTTCCATCGAAGCTCTATAAACCAGAAATCTTATTTGATATGAAAATCGACATATCATCATGATTGATGAGTGATATTTCCAACAGTTTTAATCTTAGAGTGGGTCTGTAGATATTTTTATGCTTTATGATTATTAGTATTACATACCTACTTGTATTTTTATCTATCGGAATTCAAAGTTTACTAATATATATATTTTTAAAACTGATTTCTACATATTGCAATAAAAACGTTACGTGTGTGTGTATTGATTTATATTTTACATCTTGTTGTCCTTGTACTTCTTTGTCATCGAAGATGTTGTTTTTCCGTGACAAAAGGACGTTTTTTTTGACCTGAAGTTAAGTAAGCATCAGATACAGCAAGCAATATCATCCATCAAAGACAAGAAATCATTGAAGATTTTATCTCGAATCATCCTCGCTAGTTTATCCCACGCACAACGCACACATTTTTCCCACTAACATATTTCATCGAAATATTTTTATCGATCTGTTTAAATACTCGCGTATTTATTTTTGTTACACCAACATTGTTTATTTAAATTTCTTTTATCATACCCATTTCGCAACCTTGATGTTAAAAAAAGCCCGATTTTATGGTTGTAACGCAAAAAAATAAACTTTCATTTGTAAGTAAAGTAAGTGTATGTAACTGCTTTTATTAGACATGACATCAACTCGATGCAAAGATCAAATGCATTTACATCCGAACAAGTGCTGAAAGCCTCGCAAACGTCAATAAGAGCTCTTGCACGCCGACAAAAACGCGCTAAAAGGCACTTGATTACTTTCAAACGAAAAGACGTGACTTTAACGAAAAAAATTCAATCGATCCGCTTTTCGCAGATGCTGGCTTCGACCTCTTACAATGGTGAAGCTCTCACGAGTCAGCCGCGGTCTTCCAGAGGGAGCTCCTCCAGCGGGATGGATTTAAGTTATGTGACGGAAAGGATTATCTCTGTGTGGTTTCCGTCGTCTACTAATTCGCATTCGTACAGGCAGGGACAGAGGCAGGCTGCTCATATGCTGACGAGCAAACATGGAGATAATTACATGGTGAGTGGTAAACCTTAAATACCTTAAGCCTGCGGGTACACTTTGCGTCCTTTGGAGGATTGCCAAATTCAGGGCTATTTTTGTTTGGGTCATTAAAGGAAACGCTTTTTGTTTGCTGGTGACGGGCGCTCGTGCACCAGGATGGTGGAGGAAGATATAAATCCTTGTAGGGAAGCTTTTATAAATCGTTGTAGGGCAACTTTAACCGATACTAATCAGTGGCCATTATTTATGTAAGATGTTTACACAACTGAAAATTGTAACATTTGTCTAACTCATGGATAACAAGTGGGTTCAGGCAATAAAAATTACTCAATTCATCTGATTTGAGATGATTTACAGGTCATTTAGCTTTACAAGTGGTGAAAAAATTATGTTAATATTTAGTGTTACCGACTAATAAGTTTGCATTTTTTTTTTAGAAATAATTTGTGTTCAGAATGACATTAATATGTCGTCTGTAATGTAAAGTAGCCTGCCTTGCACAATTACAGTTCGAAAACTAAGACGATTTGACAGATTTCTGGCAGCATTTTATTACGAGGAGTCGCTCGTTTTGTTGAAATTTTTGCATTACGTATTTTAAAAAATCAATATTTCAGTTATTTATGGAAATTTTGGAACGCGGTTTTCACCACTGTTTTTTTTTTTTAGCTACTGTTGTCAAATCCATTATGAACAGTTTTTAAGTTTTTTGTAATACATAATTATCAAATAAAGAAAACCTTTATGCAGACATCTTTCAAAAATTATTTGAATAATAAGTCCAATCAATTTTATGTATCCAACGATATAGTGAATTAAATTATCATGATGAAATATCTAAAAGAAAAATTAAACTTCGAATGGCCTAATTATGTCTTACATTTGGACCCAACGATGTTCTAAATTATTTTTTCTTTACTCAATAAACAGTCAGTAACGACTTATTTTAGAATGAGTGTGCCATTTTGAATCAGGCTCTATATTCATTCCCATTAAAAAGTGATACATCTACCGAAAATTGTGTATAAAAATCAATATATGGGTCAGTTGCATTTGGAAATCCAGAAAAATAAATTTTAAAATTGATGTTTTTTTTAGTGTTAAACTTAACCCCGCCCACCCACCCGTTTTCCTATTTTGTTCTTCTGAAATAAGAAATAAATGTTACAGCAAATAGTATAATAAAAAATTGCGATAAGCCCTTTTTTTGACGACCGACATTTTATTAGTTCCCGTTCTCAATCTATAAACGAATATATAATTAAGCCCGCCCACCCACCCCGCCTTCATTTGAGTGATCCATTTTATTTAGCTAGTCCGGCGGGTGAGCGGGGCTAGTACCTGCTAAGAGGGGATTGAATTTCGTAAATGATTTACCCTCTAAGAAAATAAAGGGTGGGTGGGCGGAGCTAGTTTTTGCTAAGATAAGACTGACTGTGGAAAATTACATAGCCTGTAAGAAAATAGAGGGCGGGTGGGCGGGGCTAGTATTTCTTAAGATGAGGCTGATTTTGGTAAATGAGTGCACAATAGTAAGAGTATAATCACTGGAATGAAGAGGGGGTAGGTGGGCGGGGCTATTGCTTGTTTATAAAAGACTCTGTACATACAGAAATTATAAACAAAAAACAATAAAATGCACAGAATTATCTCTAGATAACTTCAGAATCGTTTAAATATCTGTTCTTCAAAGAGTCACACGATATAATAAAAACTGCAGCCAACTGCTGTAATTATACATTTATAGTGTGACGTTCTGTAAGATTTTTGATAGTGCTTTATCACCTTTATAATATATATTATATAATCTTGGGCCTAAAATCTAAAGTAATCGATTTGGCAATTCTGGCGATCAGAGAGCTCGAAAGGGAAAACGTGCATGTCCGTATAGTATGAACTATGGAATAAATAATATAAAATGCGAAATCAGAAATTTGTCAAACTGCTGTTACATATTATGTACTTCTCAATTTACATCTTTATGTGGCGCATTTTTAGCAACAGATGGAACTATCTTAGAACATTGATAAAGAACTCATGCCCAAAATTAAGGAATATAAATATACAGGGTGTTTACTAAAGATGCGGAAACAATTAAAGGAGTTATTCCTTTGGTTATTTTAAGATTTTCGCGAATTTTTGTCGCATATTTAGTAAACCTCCTCTATATTTACTTCGTTTATAGCTTCCATAACAGTCTTTTTGACAATTGTTTTGAAGTCAAAAGTGAACCTGACGTTTTTCCTAGCAAAAAGATGTAATTAACTTGACTTTGACATCAAAAATGTACACTCGCCTAACACGAAATATTTTTTAGCCTGGATTAAACTAAAATTATTACACGTTTGTGTACACAACAAAAAAGCGCTAATTAAAAAACGAAACATGCAAATAGTAAACGTTCATCAGCTTCATGAAACGCAAACAATCTGATCTGATCTTATTTGTTATATGTTTTACGTTGTTGTATCAACCTTTGCCAGTTTGTAGCAACCACACACTCTTGTTTTAAAATAAAAATTATTCACCAAATTTGAAAATTTTTGTACAAATAAATTTTTGGCGTTTTAAATTTAAATTTAAAGATCAAATTAAACAATTAATATCAAACGTTTGTTTTTTGACATGATAAAAATAGATAATGAAACTAACCCAGCAGTGCAAATGTCAACTCGTCAAACTGAATTGTGCAATATACGGTCTATCAAATAAAGTTTGTTATTTTTACAATATTTACGTTTTGGATCAGGTCATATTGTAGTAAGTATTTCGTGTATTAGGAAACGTAGTCATCCAGCGGCACCTTAATGATTACATCACGTCATTGTCAATATTTACAAATTACCAAATTCTTTTATATTTTTTTAATTCAGATGATATGTATGAAAGAACTAAAGAACAACTCTGTAAAATTATTACTAAAATCAAAAGCACCTAATCTACTAGTGTTCCTAGTTGTAATATACGTCCGCACACAATTATTTCCAATTTTGGAAGTGAACAATCAAAATTTAATTTTCTGATGCCGGCACGTTCAGACGGAGTCCGGTAAATGTACTTTGAAAACCCAACCGGATTCGTTACGTAACCAAAATTGTGACTTTTTGTAATTTAGATGTGGGCTTGTACACGAACGTGTCGAACCGTTTTCATGAGGCGAGCACTCCGTGGAACCTAATTTTTTCTGCGGACAAAGGATATTAATTTAATTTATCGGCGTGTTTACAATTGTTAGAAAGCTGTTCTGAGAATTTAATCAACGAAAATGGAAAGCCTCACTCCGGTTATAAGTCGGATGAGCTCTAATTTTTTTTCCAATAGCCACTTCTAAAGAGCACTTTATAGGTATTTGTGATATCTGGTCTCTAAAAGGACACTTTAATGACGAGGACGATTAAATACTTTCAGTGATTGTTTGGAAAAGAATGGAGCTGATTGGAATTTTTCAGATTATAAGTTTAAAGCTATTAAGTACTGCAATACTTCCATACAAGATATGACAAAAACGCATGTTTTATTTATTAATCCATACTGTGAGGTGTAATTGACATTTGACAGAGCTGTAGAAAAGCGTTCATTTTATTATACGAAAAAGTGAGGTTAAATTTAATTATTCCGCGTCGTCGGCTGTGATCTATTAAATTTTAGGTTTATTGTAGACATACTTCACAATTTTTTACACAAAAAATCAAAAGTCAACTTGATGACTTTTTTCAATTTAATTTTTTAATTATATTTTGTTCCATCTTATTTAGTTATTGTAATATTCGTTGTTTCTGTGGCTTTTGAGCAATAAAGACAACATTTATTATTTTCATTTGCATCGCTAAATAGTAGGTAATAGCGTTATTAGTGTTTACAATATTGACACGAATATTTTTAATTAATAATAATTTATTGCATCTATTCTTGAAGTAAAATCACTGGTCAAAGGTTATTTAGATAAAACTTCCCTCGCCGCTGAAGTAAATTTAAAAAAAATCCGTTTCTTATAAATTATAAAATATTTTTTGTGACAACCTATAAATTAAACAATATCGGGCTCCAAGTGAAAATAATTAAAATTTGCCAAAATTTCATTTTGACGATTCTGAAAAAATGTTAGGAATTTTAAAAAATGAACCCACAAAAATCATCTGAAAGTGAAAATCAATAAAAGAAATTCTTCTGATAATTTTCAGGAAAAGTTAAAAATTTCATACATTGCAAAACTGAGCTTTCGGCAAACTCGCTTAAAAGTCTATCTAAAAAAAAATCTAGGGATTTGATTTCGACGAGCTGAATGGAAAAGCTGTGTATCTTAACAGTCCCAAAAGAAATTTTTGAAAACTATGGTTTGAAATTCAGGTTTTTTAAAATTTTTCAAAAGTTGCTATATCTATTTCAATTCAAAGTTAAATTTGTTGAAAATCTTAAATATTGACATGTTTCATTTTAATTATTCTGGAAAATGGTAGGAATTTCCCTAGAAATGAAACCGAAAACCATTTGAAGGGGTCAGCAAATTACTCTTTGGGTAATTTTCGAAAATGCTAGGGAAAACAAAAAATTTCGTAGGTGGGACTATTGAAAAATTTTGGGAAAATTGCCTGACCTCCATGATATTGAGGCATGATTCCCTTGGCGTTTACACTAGTATAAAAGTTTATTTTACAGTTTTGATTTTTTTTTTCGAAAATCAGATTCATAAACCACAAGTATGTTATTCTATAAAATTTAAATATCATTTACTATGCAACATTTTTAGATCACGTCATCAAATTCTTAATGCAAATAAAACTTGAAGCAATCGATCCAATAGTTTTCGAGATCATCATCTGTCTAATAGTGACACAAACGAGAGACCACGTACAGATGGACGAAAACGGGGATCCTACTTTTTCAGACTCCAGAAGTCATGGAATGTAGATAAAACATGGAAGTCGTTGTGCGGCGGAAAATAGCAAGAATATGATTTAAATTATGGTATAAATTGGGCTAACCCTAACTTAGGTACAACAATAGTTATTTGTGTGTCAAGGCCATAAAGACGACCTTTTTCGGCCGATCTAAAGTTTGAGACCGAGGCAAAACCGAGGCTTAAAAAGTGACAAGTGAATCCAAATTTTGACATTTCAGTACAAAAAAGTAACACTTTATGGATGTGATTGGGGTCGTAAAACGACTATATTTGTAATGGTCGCCTAAAAAAGATTTTCTAACCACAAAACGACTAACAACATAACCAATTATTTTTCTGTATGGTTGTGTATACCTCGGCCAAAGAGAACTTTTTCAGCCTTATCTGATTTGTAGGTCTCGGCTTCAAACTTCAGATCGGCCGAAAAAGTCCTTTGTGGCCTTAATAAAACTCAAATCGCACACTTCAAAACTACTACCTGTGTACCAATGAAGAATCTACAAAAAGAAGTCTAAGTGACGACATAATTATGGCACTTTGGATTTATAAATACAGACTATTTTCGTTTTTTACATGAAGTTATCCTTATTATTTTTTTCAAAGTAGTTCATAATGCGTTAATTTACAATAGATTCATAATAAAATATTAAGGGAAATTCCAATGTAAAGTTATTGGACAGATTGTTGTGAAATTTTAAATCTATTTTACGAATATCGTGTAACTGGTACAACCCTTAACAAAATTTGTCTGATCGACCTCGCCAACAGTTTGAAGACGTCAGCTCAAAATTTTGTAAAGTAAATTCTACTTAAATTCAATGCTTCTATACGTATGGTTTATGAATCCGCCTTAATTTTTGATTCATCAGTGCATTAATATTTTTTAGAATGGCTTATACAAAAAAAATCGATAAAAAATAATCAAGTAAGGTAATTTAATTAAGTAAACCAGAAACGATTTATGTATATCATTCTCCTGAAACTTTAGAACTTTAAATTGGTTTGTATTCATGCTAAAAAGTTGATGACGCCATCATGAAATTTTCTTACTGATTATTTACTAAAACTTATTTATTTGTAATTTCAAAAATTCACAGTATCAAATTTTATAATACATCTAAGAAGCTTTATTTCTTTTATTGTAGGTACTTCAAAGACGAGGGAAGTTTTTTCTAAATAACCTTCAACCAATTTTTTCTGATGACAATGGATATTAATTTAATAGATGGGCGTGTTTACAATTGTTAGAAAGCAGTTCCTAAAATTTAATCAACGAAAATGTGAAGCCTCACTTCAATTATAAGCCGGATGAGTTCTAATTTTTTTTCAACGACCACTTCTAAAGTGCGCTTTATATTTGAGAAATTTCTAAAGGAACATTTTAAAGACAAGATCACATACCTGCTCTCAGTGATTATGTTGCAGAAGAATGGAACTAAATTGAATTTTTCAGATCACAATTGTACAGTTAAACCTGCAATTACATTTTCATGTATTTTGTAAATTTTAAACTAAATAAGGTGTGAAAAAATTCTGTGTAAAAATAGTATGTCACAAGTATTATTATTATTATTATTCGTTTGGGAAATAATGAAGTTTTCAAACAACATTTAAAGGAAAAGAAAACCAGTTGTACTGCAGTCACAATGATTTTCTAAAATCCTATACAATACATAATTATATTCTTAAGTGAAACATCCTGTATACTGACCAAATTGCGGGCGGCACACGTTTCCGTATCTAAACTTCTAACCACGAAAACTGTATATCATAATCTTTTTGTTCAAATCGGTATCACATTCAAAAGCTAGGAATTTCTGCCACTCCAATGGAGCGAAACGTTACCCCATGTTCAACAGGGCTTGAAGATCGCATCTTTTTATGTGTCGTAATTATGATTATGCAACGCCCAAGTGGTGATGCTCGTAAATTTCATGCGCTCCACTGTTCCCGTGCATTACAACAGGTTTATCCTTCATCGTCCATCCTGCTAAGTGGTATTAATTTGATACCCGCGCAGATTACATCAGATTTATTCACCGCAGCCTCCTTACTCCCAAGTCGGTTTAAAGTTACGTCCCCGCCAGGGTTTCCAGTTCATGTAGCCGCTTTTTCTCCTCATCGATATGGGAATAGAATTACAAACATTTACGTTTTACAGGTATTTAATCTGACCGAGCCCAAACGAGCGTTAAGGAACGAACACAAGCATGTCAAAGAGGTCGGTTGGGCGCAGAACTTGGCACCGCCTTTGGAGAAGCTCTGCAGTGTGTGCAAGGAAATTGACTCCTGGCTCTCTGGGGATCAACACAGGATTGCGGTGTTACACGCCAGGTAAATATTTTACGTGTCGCTCACAAACACTGACCTTTTAGCCTTGCGATGGTCTATTTATTTGAGAGGCATTACGACACACCTGCTGCTGGCAGGAGATGCCATGCACTAGTCCTGCTGTTCTCTTGTCATCGTTACACGTTTGAAAAATTTAAATGCTCGTAACATCATAATAAACTTTGTTTATAACCACGAGTTGGTTCATTTCGTTTTGTTTTAATGCTTCGTGGGAATAGTCGGGAGGGTTTTGTAACAATGTAACTAGGGACGGACTTTACGACTATTATTAAAGCTAAATGAAGTGGCAAATTTGAGAACTGAAAACAGTTCTAGGGAAACTTGAATGGATGAAAATTTAGTGCGCATACACAGAGATGAAAAAATAGTCTCGCGAGATTAGTTTTATGTGTGCGGTTGTTTTAAATTATACTACTGATTCACGGTCATGTAGAAATGAGTCATATGTAAATAGATTTTTACGACGCTTAACCACAACAAAAACCAAATTCAAAATAGTCGTCACACGTTATTGTTTAAAGAAAAAAAACAAACTTGAGTTTCAGTTTTGTAATCTTCATTTTTTACCTTGACATAAACTTGGGATTGTTGCAATGAAATTCCATCGCTTGAAGCAATAGCAGAATGTTCGTGACGTTAATCACGACAAGAACCAATAAATTCGCAACAGGACAACGGAACAGGATGCACTAGGTTCAGATCTTACATTATAAAACTATGAAACTATGTACATCTTTGTTTGTTTTTTGCATATAATATGCTATATTTCATTTATATAATTATATTCCAATTATTTATATGACAACACTACCACGATGTACTTGATCGGCTATACAAAAATTTTAATTTTGGAGGCCGAGTTTAGTGGTACAAGGATTTAAGCTATGAGTATTATTTATTCCTACGAAAATTTTTATTTGCATTGACGACTATACAGAAGTATGACATCACTGCTGGATTATGAAGTCATAAACTGGATCCATTAAAACCAAGTGTTTGTTTTCATTTGTTACCGTTTTTTTTTTTAATATTTTTCAATAATGGAAAATATCACAGGGCAATTGTCATTGAGTATTATCGAAACGTTTATTCTTCTTATTAAAACGATAATAACAATTAGGTATGAAAATTTAATGAAATAAAACAAAAACATTGAGAAGTGTTCCTTAAGTTAAATTTGTTTCATGTTGAACTATAATTTCACGTCAAAATTGTTACTTTCACTTCTGAAATATTTAATGACCCCAGATAATTGCAAAACACTTAATTAAATTAAAAGAAAAGAAAACGAAAAAATTGGCATGATATTCTTAAATCGACATTTTTGCATATTTTCAAAACCGTGTTGATATCAGGTTTTTATCGATCGTCGTGAAATTTTGCCCAAATTAAGTATGATTTTAAAAAACTGTATATATTTTTTTAAATCAGTTCCCAAGGAATAAATTCAATGTCAAAACAAGAAGTAAAGTAAATATATTTTTTTAATATGAAATCCTTTATTTGAAATGTCTTAATTGGGTAATTTTGAAATGCGTTAATGGACGCAGTTCTTCCATTGTAATTGAAATTAAAAATTTGGGACAGAGTTAGGTACCTACATTAATCAAAAATTATCGGAAAAATTTCGCTTGAGGTTATTCAGAGGAATCAAAAATTGCCTGATCAATCTCAAATTTTGGATGGACATTTAAATGTTAAATATATAAGATACTTTGGTACTCTTTTCTTCAAATTCAAATAAACTTTACTATTTGACTTAGAAAGTACAAAAAGACTGCTCTCCAAAATTTTGAAGACAAAACAATGTTTATTAGATAATTTCTGTAAGTATACAGTATTCATATATATATTTTTTTAATTTTTACAATTTTCGAAAAACTATGTTTCAGTTTTTTCAAATAGAATATCCCGTAATTTTGTTACTGCATGTTATTATTCTTTTTTGATATATTGAAAGAAAAAAGAATAAAGTAAAACAAGACAAAAGTAAAATTACGATAATTGAAAATTGTGATGTTTTAGAATTTTTCATGAACACCCTGTATATTAAAATTTTATTTAGTTAATAAAGTGCGTACCTCTGTCTCCCTCTCCATGAAATATTTATTGCAACATAGATGTTAAGAATAGCAGTATTGCGATTTTTTTGTGAACCCCTGCATTGTTAGAATAACCTGACTACATTGCATCGGAATTTGAACAAAAAAAAAAAAAAATGAAATTACGAAGCCTAAGAAGAAGCTGAAGAGAATATGTAAAAATATATAGGGTGTTCTGTGCCTCAAACTAAAAGCTCTGTAAGATAGAAAATAACTTTAATGTATGTTGTTCAAAGAACCGTACATCTTTGGTACTTGACTTTTTGCTATAAAAAATTTTTAGAACCACCAAGATTCTTTGGAATTCTCTCAAAAACAAAACAACGAGCTCCTCCCCCAAGATCTTTTTAATTTCTTTAAAAAAACACTAGGATTTCCCGAGGTTTTTTCAAATTCCTTCTAAAATGAAACACCAAAAACTCCAGAAATTCTTTCAGAGAAAAGAGTTCCCTAAGACTGTTTTAAAAATCTACACATATACAACGCCCGAAGTCCGAAAAATTCTTTTAAATTCTTTAAAAAAGCCATGGGAATATCAAGATTTTTGAAATGAACACAGCAGAGGTCCGAAAAATTTTAAAAATTCTTTAAAAAACAATATATATCGGAAGCCTCCAGACCGTTATAATCTCTTTCAAAAGTAAAATCTTGGCGCACCCCCCAAATATGTAACAACAAAACCCTCCAAGATCCTTTCAAAATCTTTCAAAACAGAAAAAAAAACATCAAAGATCCTCAAGGCAATTTTAACCTATTTGAAAATATCTGGGGCCCCTAAGTTTTTTTCAAATTCTTAAAAAAAAAATCCTGGGGACCACCAAGATATTTTAAAAGAAAGCAGAGGGCCGATGATTTTTAAAATTCTCTTCAAAATAAAACTGTATTGGCCTCAAAAATTCTTTCAAAAACAAAACACCCGGATCTGCAGAGATTCTTTCAAATTCTTCCAAAAAAAAAAAAAACATCGGAAGGCTATTTTAATCTCTTTGAAAAACACAACATCAATAAGATCGTGGGAACACCAAGATTTTTAAAATAAAAAACAACAGACGCCCGATGATTTGTTTAAATTATTTTAAAAAATATGACAATAAGGGCCTCTAAGTCTGTTTTATTCTCTTTTCAAAGTAAAACTTTTGGGGCCCCCAAAATTCTGTAAACTTTTTTCAAAAATGAACCACCAAACGTCATCAAGGTCCTTTTAATCCCTGCCAAGAACCAAACATCAGGATCTCCTAAGATTTTTTCAAACTTATTCTAAAACAACACCAGTATCTCCAGAAATTATTTCAAATTATTTAAAAAAATCACAATAAGCTGGTCGGAAAAACGCTGGTCTCTAAAGTGGCGCCGTCGGGAATAAATGTTCACATTCAAGATGCAAAAAAAATATTAAACCTACAAGAGAATAATTAGACCTGGAAAACAAAATGTTAAACTTGTGACGACACATTAATATATAGTAGTAAGCGAAGAAAGGTAAGCCGCTCTGTAGTCTAGTGGTGAGGACACCCGCCCGGCAAGCTGGAAACGTGTGGTTCGATTCCCACCGGGGCAGCGACATTTTTCTTCGTTTACCTAGAAACCTGTAAGAAAATATTAGAACCCTCTCGTTTTTCGAGTGCACGGAGATGTTAATTCGACTAATGGAAATTTCAAGGTCCTTTCTCTCAAAACGAATCAACGTTCAGAGAAGTTTAAATGCCATAAATGAACTATGATGTAATACTTAGTAAAAACATCCAAAAACTTTGATACAACATGATAAACAAAGGGGCGAAGTTTAAAATGATAACATGAACTGTGAATTTAGAAATAATCGATTAAAAATAAAATTATACACCTTTCGGTAATAATTAATCTCCGGAGAGTTTTTTAAATTTGTTCTAAAACAAATCACCCGGATCGCCCGGATTCGTTCAGATTCTTCCAAAAAAAAAAACGGAATCTCTTTCAAAAACACTACAATCGGAACACCCAAGATTTTTAACATAAAAACAACACAAGCTCGAAGATTTTTTTTAATTCTTTTAAAAATAAGACAATAAGTCTGTTTTATTCTCTTTCCAAAATAAAACGTTTGTAGCCCCCAAGATTCTGTCATTTTTTTTCAAACGTCCTTTTAATCTCTTCCACGAAGCAAACGCCAGTGTCTCCACCACACTGTGATGCAAGTAATGCAAATTTTCAAAATTTTTGTCTAATGCAAAAATATGTAGTTAGACCTCTTTTAGTGGTACCAAGGGTTTTTTTTACTTTAAAACAGAAGAATAACTTTAACTTTTAATCTATTTTTCACCCAACTTTTGATTTAAATTTTGGGAATTTTAATTTTCGCTTTCAAACGTACAGTTTCGCTAACTTTAAACATCAAAACAAGCATAGTCTATGCGGGTTGTGAAAGGTAGCAACTAAATTCACTTCTGTAACCGTTCAAATTATGCAATTTCAAAAATTGAAAGACATCAAATACAAATTTTCAGATTTCGAATTTTTGGTTCCAAAGCATAAGCTAAAGAAATACTGTCATTCGGCGAACGGATACTTTTATTTTTTTTTATCTATCTGTCTGTCCTTCTATGTATCTGTCTGGTTGTCTGACTATCTAACTATCTAGCTGTGTGCCATCTACGTTGATTTTTATTAGACAGATAATCTCCGAAACGGCCGGACCAATTGTTGTCAAATTCTAGATTATGTTCGGAGTGCCCGACTGTCGTCTAGATGGGAAAATCCGACACTCCAAAATTTTGCGTAATAAACACTAAAAAATTTATAAAACAGCATGTTCCCGTACTTGTGAATTATGAGTCCGCCTTGAGCATTTTTTCCAAAGACATTAAATTTCTTTAAATATTTGACCTAAGGTGCAAGGAAAGTTCTGTCTGATTAACTTTAGAACATTTTTTTGTACCACGCAGAATTCTTTTAATTTTGGCAAGGTGTTGTAAAACTGCATCAATTACGACATCTACTATCTTTCTGTTTTTGTCTTCGTTCGACACACATTTACGCGGACGAAGATGGAAACAGAAACATACCATTTTACGACACCTTGTCAAAATTATAAGAATTCTACTAGATGTGTGTCAATATTCCTATAAATTCTGCAGTGTCAAATTTTAAGTTCTAGTTTTTAATACTATAACAATTTTCTATATAATTTTTCGTGATAAATAAATAAATTGAACTAAGTTCATAACGTGTTATAGTATCTAACTGCGTCATAATTTCAAACAAAATATCATTTAACCCCCTACTTTGAAAATTTAATAAAAATCTTTAAAAAGGAATCTCAGTAGTAATATTTATCAATAATAATAATATTAATTTCTTTCAAAAGGTAATCTCAGTCATTTTATATAATAATTTGTAAAACAGCAATAAATATGTTGTACTACAACATAGTGAATATGCATAATTATCAGTTTCGGTTAAAAAATACATATTATTATAGGACATTAAATCGATACTTGATGAATATCTGTTTTTTTTCTTATTATAATTTTCTGTAATTTCCTGTTTATATTATTACATAATTACCAACCGTTTAAACCAAAATCCCATTTTCAAAACAATCTATTGAAACAAGTTACATTATTCAGATATTTACTTTGTAATGTTCGAAGGCAACCTGGAAAAACTATCGCGATTAACTCAACAGATAACAGTACAAAGAAGCCGACAAACCAAGAATAAATTGTCCGTGTGTGGTTGCCTAAACCGCAAAGTGCTCCAGCAAATGCCTCTCAAATAATCACTTTTAACTTGCTCGTAAACTCATTTTTCTGCTCCAGGGGCAATAAAGACAAACTCGGAGTCATCGTGGCAGCTTACATGCACTACTCCAGCATTTGTGGAAGCGCTGAACAAGCTTTAGACCGATTTTCAATGCGAAGATTCTTAGACGACAATGTAGGACCCCTTGCTTTGCCCTCCAACAAAAGGTACAGAACAAAATCGAAAAGCAATTCAGCCAAGGTTTTTCACTGTCGATTTTATTTCAGATACGTCGATTATTTCGCTGGTTTATTATCCCATAATATTAAAATCAATGCAGCTCCTTTATACCTCACACACGTAACTGTACTCGGAGCGCCGTGCTTCCAAAGGGGAGGGTGCAAGGCTTTTTTGAAGTTGTACGAAGGACAAACTCCAGTGTACACGTCAGGTAAGCTAAATCTACTTATTTTCATTTTAAAATTAAATTAAGGACAGTAATATTAATTAAAATGTGTCGGTCGATACATCTAGATCGAAATGTTTTAGTCTTGTCCAGTGCCAAACGTGATGTATAGTTTATGTATATCGAGATGTAAATTCTTCTCGTTCACTAAATGCAACAGGAATGTTAGTTTTGGTAAACAACCATTAATTTACCTTGTCTGGTATTTTGGAGTGATCATTCTCAATATCGCGTGACAGATACATATTTAGAATCATACAACATATGAGCTTTTTGCGTATCTTGTCGAAATATTGACACATGATAAAAGCTCCTGTTTACTAAAAACTTACAACGCAATTCTGCGATAATACTTTATCAATATAATGAAAATATTTTTGCATATGTGTAATACTTTCAGTTATTATCGAATAAATTATCTATCAATTTAGATACTCCTATATATCGTTACATCAGGTTTTTGACACTTCAAGAGCTTTAAAAACATCTGAATATAATTTTGTATGACCACAAGATCATCTTCTCAGAATTAATATCAGTGAGTATCATCTCATTCACAGCGACACGCGGAATGTATAACGTTTCACTTTTCATAAGCATCAAACCGGAATAAATTTCATTCAACAGCATTTGCGTAACTTTATTGTAGTAATAAAAGTCCGCTCGTCGTAACTAGTTTTATTTCCATCATTTTTATTCGTGAATAAAAGAAAAATTCAATTCCGCTCTCCATATGTTTGAATCCCAGAGAGAAGGTTATTCATAACCCAATTACAAACTTCTATGATCTTGGGACTTGAACTTCTCGCTTCAAAAGTTCTTGTTGCAATTTTAACATTCAGCAAGGAATTTTTAAAACAGTCATCTATTATTATTATAGAAGAAAAGTTGACGCAAGTTTTCGAAGGATTTGTGTTCCTGAAAACGCGAGAGATCGTTAAAGTTCGCCGATTATCGAAAATTCGTGTATTACTGGTTGCGTCGGAATTGTTTATGTTTTATGGGAGCGAGTAAGTTGGAGTGTTGGAAAGGTGAAAAAATTGTGGGAGGAAGTAGCGGCGTTTGATGCCTTGAGGTATAATATTTTTAGTAGTATCCAACTTTTCCCATAATGTTAATAAATCATGGAGCTCGGACGTGAATGGAAGTTTGGCTTTTTTAATTTTTAAAATCTTGTTTAGTGTTTGATTGTGGCAAGTTTTTTCGTTCGTGAAATATGTAAACTCATAAATTGTTGTATGAGAGAGCGTATTAAATTTCCATGATGTTTGTGTTGCCTATGACAACAATAGAACTGAAGCATGTATGAGAACTATTGAAAACCCACGTGTGTATGTATTTTTCTAAAGAAAGCGATTTAATTACTTGTGGTCGTTTTTTGTAACGAAATCATTAATTTTAATTTACCGATTAAAATGATTTCAGATTTTTTAAGAAAATGAAGATAATCTTCAAACAATAGCTGCAACTTGTTGAATGTACGAGTAGAACGGTTTTAGCTACACTTCTGTAAAAATATGAACATGTGAAATACACCATTCTTTAAAAAATGTGTTCCATTTGAAAACTGATACATAATAAGGGTTTTCTAAAAGTACTTCAGCGATAACACTCAAAAACAGCTGCTGACCTATTTTTTTTAATTGTATACAATGTCAAGTTAAGATAAAAATTGTTCTCCTTTTTTCATCACGGAATTAATTTCCTTTGTTGATTTGGATTTATCTGTTAATAAAATCGCCACCAGACGATAGACAGACAGCTTACGTTCAGGAAATAATAAAAAAGATAACTAAATAATTAAAGCTACAACATAAAATAACGAATATTTTTTAAAAGGACTTCAACGATAACACTCAAAAACAGCTTTCGATCTAGTTGCTTTCCTAATTATAATACAGTGTCGAACTCTAAAAATGTTTGTCTTTATGCTTTTTCTTTTTTGCGGAACAGGTTCAAATGTGACAAATTTTAATCGACAAAGAATTTACATGAGGTTACGTAATAACGCGTTAATTCGAGTTATTGATTAAATCAAAATGCACTCACAAATTTCCTCGTGAACAGAAACTCATATCACATACAAAAAATAACGGAAACCTTGCTCTCTAAAGCGGCGCCGTTGGGAATAAATGTTCAAATTCAAGCTGCAAAAAATTATTAAACCTACAAGAGAATAATTAGACCTGGAACGAAGGGTTAAACGTGTAAGAAAATATTAGAACCCTCTCGTTTTTCGAATGTACGAAAATGTTAATTTGACTGATGGAAATTTCAAGGTCGTTTCCCTTAAAATGGACAACGTTCAAGAAGTTTAAATGCCGTAAATGAACTATTAGTGTGTTGTGATGTAATACTTATTAAACACATCCCGAAACTGGTAGAACTTGATAAACAAGGAATCAAGCCTAAATAAGTGAATTTCCTGACACATTGTCTATATCAACAAGTTCATGACTGCTGACTTGCGTTAGAACCAGGAAAATCTTAACATGAGCTATGAATTTAGAAAGAATGAATAAAAAAGTACAGACCTTTCGGATTAGAAAAAAAAATTAAATATTGATAATACTCAGGGAGGTTTGTGGCTTCAATGCAATTAATTTTGGTCAAAAATGTATGTAAAAATGCAGTCATTTTAAAAAGTGGTTTACTTTATTTGACAAAATTAAAACTGATTAGTCATTAACATCCTAGTAATGATGATTTATGATGGGGGATTTATAAGGTTGGATATGTTAACAGCATTGTATCCACATAAGTTTTACGTAATAAAATTCTGTGTCATCAACTTCTTGGCAAGGACAAAAAACGGACAACAGAACGACAAAAAAGACGGCAAAAAACGTCCATAAAACAATTCCACAAAAAAATATGAAAAAATTGGTGACTACAAAAGTGGACCAAAAAAATAAGACTATAAAAACGGGGTCAAAAAACGCCATAACAAACTACTAAATAAGGAGGTTAACAAGGCGATAAAAAGAGACCGAAAAGGCCCCTACGAAAAGGAGATACAAAAGAAAAAAAAAATGCGATAAAAATTTGAGATCATGGAAAAAAGAGTCCTTAAAAAAGAACCAAAAACGCGACAAAAAAATACGTATAACAGAAGGGAGTCAACAAGTTCACAAAAAAGACAGTGAAACAAGGACAAAAATTCCATTAAAAATGCGAAAACACCCCAAAAAAAATCCATGAAAAATGAGTAGAAGGGAACCCAAAAATGCGACTAAAAGAAGGGAATCAAAAATGCGACAAAAATTCCGCAAAAAGGGCTGCAGAAACAGAGGACAAAAAATCCAAAAAAACGTAACTTTAAAAAGTGACAAAAAAGACGTTAAAGAGCAAAAAGGAACAAAAAAACCCTTCAAGTAGGACAAAAAGTAACAGAAAATGTCTACAAAAATAAAGAAAATAAAACGAGTGTACAAGTCTGTTATTTCAGAAATTTGAATAACATTTACAATGCAAAATTTTGATAGACAGACGGACACAAAGATTTAGTTTTTCATACTGTAGGGGTCATGAACCGTCAAGAAAACATAAAAGTAGCCGTTCTCTCGATATACCCTATTACAATACTTCCCTAGCTTAAGTTCAGGAAGTAAAAATAGGTATATATTTTTCTTAATCTAAATGATTAATTAGTTATCTATCCTGATGGTATCAGAGATTAATTTAGAAAGTCGATGAACTAAAAACTTAAGCTCCCAGAATTTTGACAAAAATTCAGAAATTATTAGTTAAATATTAAAAAAATTCTGGAGCAACCCTTGAACTCCGTAATCTCTAAGGCCAGTCGCTCTACTTTCAGAATGTAGTATCTCCGTTATTAAGAGACCTATTGTTCTGAAATTTTAAATATATGTTGTCCATAACTTTCTTTGTATAATGCAAGGACAATTTTGTTAAAAACAATTTGTGATCTTTTTTTTTAATTTAGTAAAATTTTTACCTAACGTATTTTTAAAAATCAATATCTCAATTATTAAAGGAAATTTCAGAACACGGTTTTCAACACTCTTTTCAGCTTACCAAACTCCAATAAATCATACCATATACATATATCGTAGATTTTTTTTGTTAGAACGATACACAGTAAAAAAAAAACTTGTGTCATAGAAGTTGCTAACTTTTATTTTTACGATATCTCAGTCCCAACAAATGAAGTCAAACATAGACCTAGTACGATTTCTAAAGTTAACCGTGTGTTTATTGTTTCTAAGTTCAAATTTTATCTCTCGAATTTATGGCACTGACTGAATGAGAATTAAAATTACTTAAATTAATTACGCCTTGCTTTATCAACAATTTTCATCAACTGAGAATTTACATGAGATTACATAGTGCAATAATTCGTGTTACTGATAAAATCAAAAAAGAAACATATTCAAAAGGATCAAAATCACAATAAGCTATTCTCGGAAACGCCGCTCTCTAAAGCTGCACCGTCGGAAATAAATGTTCAAATTCAAGCCGCAAAAAACTTATTAAACCTACAAGAGAATAATTAGATCTGGAACAAACTGTTATACCTGTAATAATTTCAAAAGTGATTTACTTTGTTTGACAAAATTAGAGCCCATTAGAGTTGAGTTTTTCGTAATAAAATTTTGTAATCATCAATTTCTTAGCAAGGACAAGAAAACAACATAGCAACAAAAAAACTGCAAAAAAATTCATAAAAGAATAAAAAAAAATGCGAAAAAAATAGTCCACTAAAAAATGTTCACCAAAAAATAACGCTATAAAAACAGGGTCAAAAAGCAACTAAGTTAGGGGGTTAAAAAGGCGCCTACAAAAAAGGAAACAAAAAATACAAAAAAAAGCAATTACTGATACTGGCATAAAATGATCCTTAAAAAAAGAGCCAAAAAACGCGAAAAAAGTCCACAATAAAGTGACAAAAGAAAAACTCACAAAAAAATACATACGTCCTAACAGAAGGGAGTCAAAAAATATAACGAAAAAGACAGTTTAACAAGTATAAAAATTCCGCAAAAAGGCAACAAAAAATGCTAAATACAGTCCAAAAAAATCATGAAAAAAAGAGAAAAAAGGCCAGTATAAAAATTACTAAAAAAGAGGGACTAAACAACGCAACAAAAAATGCGACTAAAAGAAGGGAATCAAAAATGCGACAAAAATTCCGCAAGAAGGGCTGCAGAAACAGAACAAATAAATCCAAAAAAGGCGACTTGAAAAAGTAAAAAAAAAAGAGTTACAATTAAGACAAAAAATTTTCACAAAAATACAAACTTAAAGGCGGTTACAAAAGTCACAAAAAGAAAATAAAAGAGTATAAAGGTCTGTTATTTTAGGAAATTTAAACATTTACAATGCAAAATTTTGAGGTGACGTCATCAAATTGTTGATGAGGACGATCAGACAAATTTTGATTGCCTATTTACCATCTACACGATGATCTTAAAGTACAAATATATGAAGGAAATTATCTGTTAGAAATCAACACAAAGAGACGGACGCAGAAGACCTACTTTTTTATACTCTTGGGGTCATTAAACATCAAGAAAACATAGAAGTAGTTATTCTCCCGATAGACCTATTACATACCGTACCATACTATAAAAGAATCTCAGGAGTGAGTGTTTCATTGCTCGTCGTGTTGATTTTTTACTCCCTTACTAGTAATTTTAGACCGATTAGTGTTCCACTGCTTTATTTTTACATATTTCCTTTATTATGAGACAGTAATTTTTTCAGTAGTATGAAAATTGAATAATAAACAAAAACCGAGATTTTTCTAAGCACGAAGAACTAAGATAATATAAAAAGAAAGTACGTTAGCTAGATTTTGAAATGGTGAAGCGATTTGTAATCAACACCCTGGATAAACAAAAATTACTTTTGTGCGAATAGAAGAAAAAACTGAATATTTTGGAACTTGAATCATATTACTAAATTTATGGAACAAAAAAAAATATGTGAAAAAGTTTATCCCACCTTAAATAAAGGTATTCTCTACAATAAAATTTACAATACGTTTGCTTTTGTGAAAAGCCAAGTTGTAGAGAGCAATAAAAAACACAATCAAAGGCAACCATGGATCTTTGAGCGTTTGTCTTTGATTGTGGATGGCATTTAAATTCAATAATCCATTGCTACCTTCGATCGTGTTTTTATTGCTCTATCGGTACAAATTAACTGAAAGCCATTTCGAGAACTTTCTGTAAATTTTCTAATTCAAAATTACCTAACTCCCTACTAATGAAATAGTAAATTTTACAAGTGCGAGTTGTACTAATAACCCTTCTAAATCTAAATTATCCCACCACCCTGTACACCCTCAATTTTCCAATCTAATCCGCCCACGATCCCTTCGTACACTATTCCCTCAGTTCCACATTTTATTCTATTTTTCGCTCCGATATTCAGAAACATTTATACAATAAATTCCGGCAAAAATATATCTCATAAACCCACCCCATCTGCTGAAAAATGGTAATCTACTTTTTCGTATCACATCTCGTGCCTCCTAACACCCAACCTGACGTCTCCCATTCCCGTCCCAGCCGTACGAAAAATGTGTATCCGCATCAATAGAGCTCCTCAGCAAGAAATTGGTTCGTGTTTCAGGCGTCTACAACGTATCGAGTGGCGTAAGCCAGTTCACGGTGAACGTGGCGGGGGAGCGTCGCCGTGGCCTGCAGCTGAGGGGTGACATCCTGATAAAGTGCTATCATCGAGGAGACGTGGGAAGAGAGACCGTGTTCGCATGCCAATTTCACACTTGTGCGGTGGCCGATTACACGCTCAGCTTTACGCGACAAGAGCTCGATGTCGCCTGCAACGGTAAGTTACCCCATCCTATTATCATTCTTTGGGCTAGGTTGCGCACCAGGACGGAATACAAATGCCGATGCTGAGCATAAAGTCTGATTAAAGCGAATTTATCCACGGTGGCGCGCTTTGAGGAAGGAGCAAATTAATTGGAATTAATTAGAGTTTCGGAGGAAGGAATGAAGCGTCGAGGGCAGAAAAGTTTTTTTGGGGAGGGAGATTGAAAGTAAAAAAGCAGACGTGGTACGCATTGCAGAGGTCGTGGTTGAGAAGTATTATGCGAAGTCTTCGAAGTTGGATGGGGGGTGGTGTAATTTCAGTTACTTTGAACTGTGAACTTTTCGTAAAGTATATGTTTTTGTTTAGTAACTCACACATTTGCATAATTAATTTGGAGGTAACGCTAAGTGAACAAGTTAACAATTGGCCGATTCACTTTAATTGGCAGCCCAGCACTTAAAAGACATTTCTAAATTTCTAAGAACTTGGCAATGAAATGCTGTACAATTTATTATAGAATCTGGGTCATACCGCACGCTTTGCTGATAAAGTTTTATAGATATTTTTTCAAGTTTCCAGATCTTTCCAAAGTAATCATTTTTAAATTACCTTTCAAAATTTGTTCATACATTTTTTGGTGGTTTTTATTTCCGCAACAGTAAAGGGATTTTCGTTATAACAGGATTATTTTGACGAATAAACAAATTTCCTGTTTTCTTGGTGTTCCTCAACTAAACTATAGATTTCCAATTCTCCACACAACGAAACACTATAATTAGTCCTACTTTTTACTTCCCGAGCGTAAGCTCAGGAAGTATTGTAATCGAGTCCATAAGCCGACTGGCTACTTTCAAACTTTCTCGATGTGTCATGATCCCTAGAGTACGAATAAATAGGTCCCCGTTTCTGACCGTGCGTTCATCCGTCCGTCCGTCCGTCCTGAATTTTTACACAAAACATTCAGATTTCTGGAAAAAAAATCCAAATTTGGTAACAACATTTTGCAGTTTAATTTTGAATATGCAAAACTAAACGCTTTAAAATCTTGTAGACGTTTTAAAGTTATCGGGAGCATGGTGAATTTTTAATCAAAATACTTATATTTGTTTATCCCCTCCAAAAATTGATGACATCATCTCAATCATGTATTGATAATTTTTAGAATTAGGTACTTTAACGGGTGACTCAAAAAGTTAGTGCATAAGTCATAATTGATTAAACTAGGAACGGTTAAATCCATTTTCTCGAAAATTTGGAAATGCAATACTGTCATTTTAATATTACACTGCATCTAAAATTGGTGTTGATGTTTTTGTAAAAATTTTGTAATTAATTATCTTTTGATGAAAAAGCTCATTTGAAGCATACGCGTAGCACATTTCTTTGCATTTACTTTAACATTACATTACCTGGTTTCTATAAATGATTCGAAGTGGGTCATGGAACCGTGCCGCGTATCACTTTATGCGAATTTTACTAAATGCCCAAGGACTCGCGACAAATAACACACGTATCTGTATAACTGATTACCTAAATTTCTCATATCTTATTAAACACCAAAATTATAATAAAAAGAAACAAATTTATTGTGGTTAAACATCACAGTAAATGTTGAAAATGTTCTCCATATTGTTCTGTCGAAATAACCTTCGATTAATTTTTGTTGAACTAAAATGCAAATTCTACGATTCCAACCAGGCGATCCGATTTATTAAAGTTTAACATATTTAAAGGAGGTATTATATTAGTCCTTGTTTAAGTGTAATATTGCCATATGGCGAGCTTAATTCTGACAATCATCAAACAATTTTGCAATTACAAGATTCATTGCTAGAAGTATAATATTTTTTTATTGCGCGCCTAATTCTAGCAATCATCAGACAATTTTGCAATTACAAGATGATGTTTCTTTTTTCCTTCACAATTAAGCTGTCAGCTTGTATGCAAACTGTACACAGGGTGCACAAAAAGTCCCGGAACGGTTAATTATCCTGTGTATTTGCAAAACGATTTCTTTGAAACTTTCAATACATTGATATTTTTATTTTTTTCACACATTGAGAAATGTTAAGCTCAACAGATATCCTTTCGAATAGCCCGAGCTACTAGTCGTAATACTATATAAGTTTTTTATTTGCCTAGAACCAAATCTAATAATAATAATTACGTTTATTGTGCGTAAAAGGCATTACTACAATGTATGCACTCATCAAAAGTAGCAAAACAGTTACTGGATTGTAATCCCCAAGTTACTACAATGGTGTAGCGGAAAAATTACATTTGAACAACAACAAAAGACTGTATCGATTGTCCAAATCATAAATTACGGTTACGGAATCGATCGCTCTGATCAAGGCGATCAAGCTGCAAGGATTGTTACATAATTAACCGCATCATCCACTTCCTTGCGGGCTGCCAGGCCGGAAGACCTGCTCATTCCACCAAAAAGTCCCAGTTGGAACAAAATAAAAAAAATTGTTGGATTACTTGCTCGAGAACTCCCCTCCTACTAACATTGTTGGAGTTAACCGAGAACTTCAACCCGTTCATTTTGTTGTTGTTGATCAAAAGACGTTCCGACACGTAGCTAGATCTTTCAATAATAAAGAATTTACAAGGTGTTAAATTATGCATTAATTCAAGTGAATGGTTAAATCAAAAACAAGCTCATCAACATTACATTATGGACTCGAAGGATTCACATATCATATAAAACAAAGAATATATGAATTAAGGGACGGTTCACTTGTTTCATAAGATGGATTTTCTTAGGTTTTGACACCCTCGCACAATACAATAAAAAAAAATACGAAAATCAATAACCCCCTCCCCTCCAACCAAATCTTACGTAAGTTAAATGTATTTTTGGTACCTACTAATCTTAAGTGAAATTAATGAAAATAGGTCGAAATTATATTTAGGGCAAAAATTTTTATTTAAATAATATCTTTAAATATCAATTAAGTCTAGCATAAGCTTTTATAAAATTAATTTAATAACAAAGTACAATTGATTCCTCAACCTCCCTCCCCCCAGAGCAACAAAAATACGACCGTGTCACCGTGTGTATTAAATACGGCCTAAATCAAAATAATAAATAATTCGAAAATAACACACCCATAAAATTCAAAATAAACATAAATATATACTTCCAATTTCGAGTCCATGGTGATAATAACTGACCATAATTTTGAAGGGCCATTTTCTCAAATTTGATCAACGTTTAATTAAGATCCATTTAATTGCCTTTAATTGCCACAGGCGAGCTATTATAAATCTTGAATAAGAATTTATGAAGTGTGGATAACGTAATAGCTAGTTTTCACATGATTATCGTAGTTACATTGTTTTATTACATTTACTCGTTACCACCACGGACATTTAAAAATCCTAATATGAACTGTAAAGTTGTAGACAATACAACAAAAATTACGAACGTGTTGATGGAATAGACAAAATTTTACACATGTCATATCAGAAAGTCTTAACACTAATTACGCTAGTTGGGAAGAGAGACCTTGGCGTCGAATGCGATTTCATGTTAGTTAAACAGTGATCCTTTTATGGAATTAAACAAAAAGTGTCAAAAGACCCTTAAAGTCTGCTTGCGCTGGGAAAATGGGGTGCATCGTTCTTAATTTGATCAATAATAAATTGACTGATTCATTAATTTCTTTGAGCCACCTGTTTAAGCAAATCTAAAAAATATGAATGCAATCATAAATCACAAGTAAAAACTATTTTTTCAAAACAAAAAATGAAATTGCATCCACCCATCCCCTCTTCATTGACTGCTCTTAATATTGTTCAGTCTTATCTTATCTATCTATTTTCTTAGAGGGTAAGTTATTTGCCAAAATTAGTCTCATTTTTGCAAGTACTAGCCCCGCCCACCCACCCTTTCTTTTGTTAGAGGTTATGTCATTTGCCACAATCAGTTTTATCTTAGCAAATACTAGCCCCGCCCACCCACCCTTCATTTTTTTAGAGGATATGCATTTACCAAATTCAGTCTTATATTCGTATCATTCTAAGCATTTTATTTCTCTTCGGTATAAGATACACCTTTCATTCTGACTAGATAAAATGCATCACTGAAATGGGGTGGGTGGGCGGGGTTAATTATATGTTCTTTTGTAGAGTGGAAAATGGAAGCAATAAAACGTACGCTGTTAAAAAAAGAAAAAGTGCTAATTGTAAGTTTTTCGGTATTATTTGTTATAAGATTTATTTCTTATTTCAGAAGAAAAAAATATAGAGAACGGGGCTAAGTTTAGCTTTTCCCTACAGTCGTTTATAAGAAAGCAATAGCCCCGCCCACGCACCCTCTCTTCATTCCAGTAACTACTTTTAATATTGTTCAGTCATTCTCCAAAATTTGTTTTATCTCAACAAATACTAGCCCCGCCCACCCGCCTTCTGTTTTCTTAGAGGGTATGTCATTTGCCAAAATTAGTCTTATCTCAGCAACCCCATGTTCCCCTTCCCCAAACCGCGGGTTACATTTCCTCTACAAATGTATGGTTGGCTAGGTTATTTATTGACTGATCTTCTTATTTTTAATTTCAAATGCGGTTTTTTTTTCACCATGAAATTTAAATTTCAAGTTCAGGACACCACAAGAAGAATATTTCGCCACCCTACGTAATGTGGTCGTAATTTATTCAAGAAATGGTGTCAAATGGGTATTATTTATTACAGACTTACCTAGTTCCATTTTTTTTAATGGGCGTTAAAACGGCATTTAAGAAAAAAGTACATAATTTTTTTGTGTTTTAAAAACGCTTAAAAAAAATACCTATACTTATGTGGATTTTCATAGCGCAATTTTTAATTTATAAATCGAATGATTTTTTTGCTATATTCATATTGTAATCTAGTGGAACAGAAACAATCTGTCCAAACTGAAGTTAAAGGAAACACTTTTTTCTTTCCACAAAAGCTAGCAATTATTATGTTAATTAAACCGGTTCATTTTTACTTGCAGGGCGTAATCGAGTCTATTGGACGAGTGGCTACTTTTATTACATTAGTAAATATTATTTAAATTTTATAAAATACGATGTTCCCGCACATGTGACATCCCGATTTTTGGAAAAAAAAAATGAAAATTTAAATCTCACAAGCGTTTTAAGGTTGGTTACAGGAAGCGGATAAATCATTAATCAACATTTATTCGTTTATTACCTTACCAAAAAATTATGACGTCATCTTACAATCCTGCCGAATAAATGTTCTACAAATTTTATAAAATAACATGCTTCTGCATTATTTTTACCACAATTATTATTGTAGCAAGTGGCATTTTTTGTTTATTGTTTATTAATTTTTTTGAATTTAACGGCCACAAAGTTATAGAACGTAGCCCTAAAATTATAAAAAAGCAACCATTTTTTTTTTTTTTTTTTTTTAATAAAAAATATAACAATTTGGCAACGAAATTTAAATCAAAGATTATATCAGAAATTATACACCTTCGAGAATTTGGAGTGCTTTTAATGAATTGGCAACGCTACTGAAAAATCAAGTTCAGCAACTATCTCCACACTGTAAAATGCTTTTTTAAATTTTTTAACGAATTATTTTTTGTTGTAACAAAATTTCTTACTGGTGGCGTTTCCCCTCTGTTATTTTCAAAAAGATATTTCCATATACACCCAATAGTAGCCACTCAGGAAGTGAATAGTTTGAGCTTTAATAGACTAGCTTGACGTAACTTCGTTTATCTTTAAATTGTATAATGTTTTCAGATTTTTACTTTCTTTAATGTTCTTTATTCCACAACTTTGTCACACCCTATACAAACGGCAGATAGAGTTTGAATTATCAGTAGTTGTTGAGTAGATTCAAGAAGAGATTATTAATTTTTTAAATATTTGATTTCTGACGTTAATCGTATTTGTAGGTTTATTGATGATTATTATTAATTCTGAAAATGCTATTTGGTACACCCTGTTTATTGTTTTCTTAAAACATTTACTTCAAAGTCTTGTTTATGATTATTAAGTTTCTCTTGGTGGAACGTAATTTACCTTGCATGAAATTAATACGACATAAAACTACCACATAATAAAATACCATCCAACACAATCTGCATCGCAGTGTGTTACTATAGATAGTGGCTGACAGTTTTAGTGCCCATTCTACCTGCGTATATTCTACTAGGATTATTGGATTTTCAACAGAGAGTGGATGACACTAACTAACTGCTACGACTTGTTCGGAAGATATGTTTTAACAATAATATATGTGAATTCCCTTCGAAATCCCGAGAAGTTATCAATCAGCAATTGATAATTTTCCAACAGGTTCATAAAATGAATATGAAATCTGAAAACTTAATAAAATTCGATATTTGTCTCCTCGGCTATGGTCAAAATAAGTGACATTTTTTTTTTATTTCAGATCCCCGCTTTCCAGTGGACGGCGCCGTCGAGCTCCACTTCTCCCCGGGCCCCGAAGGCCGCCACCCCGCGCCCGCCCCCACGCCGGCCGTACCGTTCACTCTAGCAGACGATCCCATCACCAGGGCGGACAGCCCGTTCTTTGTGGAGGAGTTCGACGACGAAGGCGACTCAGACTCCGGTAATTAATTACAAAGATTTAACGTAGAATATAATACCAGCGGGCAAACTTCCAGAAAAATAAAAATAAACAACACGCGCTTCTTTATGTTGCACTGGCACGGCTGCTGGAAGTTCTTGCGCATTCATGTCGCCTTTAGGTACTCGGAACATGAAATTCTAAGCCAAATGGTTTTACTCTTTTTTATGTGGCACTTCGCTAAAAGTCGTGTTTTGGTGGAGTAATGCGATGCGGTGCTTTAGGGCCTCTTGGCTTTCACAAAATATCGCGAAGGTGGTGCCAGGATTCGGGATTTATTGTTGGGATATATTTCTTTGCGTGGACAGCGTAATCGTAAAAATACGCTTAATGCAGAGAGATTCGGTATCGCGTTGAATGTCTAGCAAGGTTTTTGTGTTAAATTAAAAAAAGCCTTGATTTTTAAAAGTTGTAGGGATACTTTGAAGTGGAACAAATTTATGGAAGATAAAGCCACAGGTTGTTTATTATTATTATTTATTAGGGTCGTTATAATTTTTGGTAATTTTTATGGAAACTGCTTATTGTACAAATTATGTTAATGATTATTACATAATTAGGACAAGATAATGATCAATGTGTAAAAGATGCAAATAATTGTCATAAAGAGTGAATTAAATAAATATTTAGAGAGATCAATGAGAAATTTAAATTCTGATCTAACAATCTACAACCCAGAGTCTAGTTTGTAAATACCTGTGAATTGTATTTTTCTTTTTAAATTCATGTTTCACGTTTTTTTTCAGTTGTCTCCAATTTCGTACAACATACTTTACATAAATAAAACGTAATTAATGGCTGTGTTTTCTGATTTTGATAAAAACTTCTATAGTTTGACTACCATTAACGTAATGAGAACATAGTTTTGGCGATGGTTTTAAGATTTTAATTTTTGTTTTTGTAAAGTTGGTAATTCCGTCATCGTATGAAGGATTAATAAAATGACGAAAACATGTTAGTTTTTTTAGCTCTAATTGTTTCAAATTCTCAGATTTTTGTGTTCTAACGAAACGTGGTCATTAAAATAAATTGAGTTGTAAACTTTTATTAAAGAGTTCAAAATGTCAATCTTTGTGTTTAGAAGATAATTAAGACATCCTGATTCTTTCATATTTCGACCCGACAAAGATGAACAATGTTTTTGATTATTGATTTTAGCTGTTAATTGTTACTATTATTCCAATGAATAAATTAATTATCCGTGTCTACTAATTGTATGAAAAATGTGTTAAAATTTAGACCCCAGAGCAGGTATTAATATGAAAACAAAAATGGTATAAATCAAGAATCGAAAAATTCCGGAAAATTTAGTTCCAAAACGCGTTTATCCTGACACAGTATAGCAGATTGGCATTTAACTAAAGAAAAGAAAAACGTGACTTAAAGAAGCAGTAGATAAAGTAAAATAAAAATAATTCGATAACATTTAGTGTGAAAGAAATTCTTATTCAGTATTCAGATATCAATTTTTGTATGCAAAAAACGGCTAACTTTATTTTACATAGTTTAATAAAATGTGGAAAATAGATTATCAACAAAATCAAACACTAAATAAAACTGTTTATAAACAATTAATGATAGGAGTTTGTAATTTAAATATTCTTGGTAAAAAAGTTGAAAAAAAATGTATTTTTTTTTGTCCTGCACGAAGTATCGAAAGGAAAAAATTGTCTGAATATACACGCACATAAGGAAAAGAATGCGTAAAAAATAAAATAAAATATTTACAAAATATGTAAAAAAAGACGTGAAAAAAATTTTTATAAAACAAAAATAAGACAAAATTACCGATCAAAATAGTAATAGATGATAAAAAATGTAAAAAAAACACCCAATTTTAAAAAATAATGAAACTCCTAACCTTTCGGCTTCTTTTTCTGCTGCAATTCAGCGAATTTCATCTTCATTTACGAACCCACTGCAACAAAAAACACATGAAATTTCTGTGTACGCAAAGAAAAATACTATAAAGTTAATATCAACTTTATACATACTAATTTTTAATAACAGTGCAATTTAACGTTACGCAGGTTTAATAAATAGGTGGATAAGATTCAAAAAATACTAATCAGAAAAAGTGTTGAAGTCACGATAAAAATTCTAAGCAAAATTTTTTCTACGGATAAACTAAAAATTCGCTAACAAAGAGATCGACAGAAACGGAAAATCAATATTTTCACTCCATAAACTGGAAGTGTCCAGAAAACAAGAAATGAAAGTTTAATAAAAATAACAAAGTACGTTTGGAAATTAAGAACATTCTAAATTTAATTTCATCGTAAACACGTCCCAATAAACTCAAACATTAAAGACCACTGTTTTCAATAAAAATGAGAATATGTCTGAAACATTTTGCTGATTTAGAGAGAACTTCATTTAATTGTAGTTAAGTTTGTTCCAATATAAAAATGTTTTCGAAACATTACGAATATAATAATTAAAATAATATTGATTATTGCAGCGATGCGGAAAACGTAAAGACCGTCCGTAGTAAGATAAAAATGAAAATTGGTTAAGTAATATTGATAAAAATCTATTAGATATAACAAATTATTTCAGCCAAAAAGGCCAGTATTAATAAATAAATCTCTGACGAGATTTTACCCAACATTTGAGTTCTTGTTGAAACAAACATATTTATTAAGTCATTATTAACGATACATGAAATCTAATAACAACACTTACCCTTTAAATCCTGATTTCCTTTCCTTCCGCGCTGATTCTTGCACACTCCTTCCTCATGGGCACATCACAACACTCACCTTTCACTTTTAGCCCGAAACCAAATTATTTTTAATAAAAATAAACCACTTAAATAAACTAATTTACAGACAGCACACGCTCTCGACGAAGTTGAAACCGACAGAACTCCCTTGCATGCGTAACACGAAATATGAACAAAAAATTCTCGCCGATTCCTTATCAGACGTTTTTTGCGGAGTTTTTTTTTCATCAATGTGTCGCACAGTAAATGAATCTTCATTAAAGAGCTGCAACATTATTAATTAACAGAAGATCATTTTCGCGCTGTGTGGATGCATAAGAAATTACTAATGTCACGTACAATTCGCCAAAAACGAATTAGAAAAATTGATTAAAAAACGTCTTTCGAAAATATTTTATTTTTCGACAATTAATGACACTAACACAGAATTCAATTTTTTTCGCCATTTTTGCTAAAATACTCATGTAAAATAGATTCATACAGGGTATTCCAACGGTCAAAGGGCGTAAAATTAAACATTTGCGTAGACTGAAGAAAAAATTCTTCAACGCTATTAGATTGCTATAATTTCGAAGTATTTTCAAACATATACAATGTTCCGTTTAACTTATACAATAAGGCGGTATGTCGGAGCGTAAGTTAGAAAAGTCTTATAATAGGATCCTTTTGACTACTTTCATGTTTTATCGACGTTTCATAATCATAACCCCCATTTTGATTGATTATGTCTCCATAACCCAGAGGAGTGGATTAATTAACACAGCAAAACGGTGTGGCATAACTGTAGTTTTCGAGTAAATGGAATGAAACGTTCTTAATTTGATAAAAAAAAAAGATATAACGAAGATGAGAATGAGACTCGAACTCACTAGAGCAGACCTCATTTGAGCGCTTGGAAAGCAGAAATTAGTCAGCTCCTGGCCCCGCAACTCAAGCAGCTACAACCTAGTTGTTCGCACCGCGCGTGGTATCGGGTAAAAAATCAATGCAGATTCATAAACCACAACTACAAGAATATTTTATTTTATAAAATTTAACTCGGCGTTCAGAAAAAAAAAAAAAATAGGGGGACGACATAAAAAATTATTGGTGGTGATAATTAGACAAATTTTGGTTAGCGTTATCCCCACAACACCGAAAACACAAAATATTTGTCATCGCGTTTCGCCAACCACGTTGGAATTATGTAGACAAATATTTTGTGTTTCCAAGCACACCAAGTAATCAAAAATATTCCTTTTACCACCTACACGATATACCTGACGTACACTTGCAATTTAACAACAGTTGGTCCAACAGTTTCGGAGATTGTTTAAACACGGAGGACGGACAGACGGAAACGGTGGGCCACTTTTTTCGTACGCTAGGGGTCATAAAACATTGAAAATAACGAAAATAGTCAATTGCCTGATGGTTACAATATCCAAACCAAGATGTGGAGAATGATTCTGGGTGCGCTCAAGCAATTTATTGTCCTCGCAACACCAGAAAACTTCATTTACTGCTGATACCAGTCCGAGGATCCGAAAGCATAACTGCTGAAGCTCCTCCACAATGTTGAAATTTTTGGGTGTGTTGGGGATAATAACATGTTTGAATAAACGTAATTGGTAATTTTTCAAAAAGTCAATGTATGATTAGTGATTACTGATTTGCATGGTTTCAAGGCAGTAAAGAAATAAAATTACAGGTTATGTTACACAATATTCCAATATCATTAATCGGGCTTTCTTCTTATTTATATTGAAATTTTACATACATATTACAATTTTTATTATTTAAGTCAATAAAAATTGAGCCTTCTGTTGTATGATGTTCTTCATTTTATCCTAAAATTTAAATATAGCGCCATCAACAATATTAATATTGATTTGAATTGAATGTAGTTATTTATCTGTGAGTTGAGTAGATAGTGGAGGTTCTGGCCCATTTGCAAGGGAAATTAACAAGCAAAATCGTAAAAATTTCAAAACCTTCTCAAACATTTTGGGGGTGAGTTTTCCGGTTTTTTTGGGCAGTCGAAAAAGGTAGTCACCCACACAAAAAATCAGTCGGAAAAAACAGCCGAAGTGAGCCGAAAACTCACCCCCAAAATGTTCTGCAAAAGTTCAGAACATTGATAATTCCCTATAAAAATTGACCAGAACCTTCAAACATAACTTCTGACTTGTGAAATTTTAATTTTATTTAGTGAACCCAGTAGTTATATGGTTGTAAAGTAGACAGTTGTGCCTGGTTTCGACGACTTTTGTACTCT